CTCCCCTTCTCCAGGACCTCCCTCGAAATCTCTTTTGGAACATGGGGAATCCAGTATTCGATCCTTCATCATATGAAAGTCTATCGAACACATCATTATTTTGATATCTACCCCTTCCTTCCCGGGAAGCATATGTCTCCCTCTTGACCCATCGTATTTGACTTCTATTAGAACACGAACCAACAGATTGCTGATTTCCTCTCATTGTCATCTGGGTTGTTTATTTTTCTTTATTATTGCAACTCTTCTGCTTTGTCTCTAATTTTTTGCTTTGCTCTATCCTAAAAGCTTTAGCAGCCGATCTATCAAACACCGCACTGCATCGTGGACATAGCGCCACGTCCTCATCCTTTTCTTTCTTTCTGGTTAAAAATTCGACAAGTGAATCTTCTAATCGAGGATAAATTTCTCTCTCGAATTCTTTTTCAAATTCACTTAAATCGAATTCTATGTCTTCTTCAGACATGTCCATTTTGACATGTCTAGGATCAATGTCGTCAGTAACATCGACCATTCCTATAAAAGTTGAATTCACTAATCGAGCATCTTCAGAAATGCTTGACTTGGACTCAATATACCCCACCTGCACTTCAAATGGATTAGTATCCACTTTCATCGACATCTCCTCAAATTTTAACCTTCCTTGATCGATTGCATCTTGAACCGTGTTCCTAAAATGTATACAATTGTTAGTCCAATGCCCATAAACATTATGAAATTTACAATATTTTTGACCATTTCTTTGCTCTAAAGAAGGCAGTTTATGATCATCACTCAATCTAATTTTTTTATCTTTCAATAAAATATCAAAGATTTTATCCGCTTTCGTTACATCGAAAGTATATGTTCGATTTGCTATTTTATCTTTCACCTCATTTTTCTGTAATAATTTACAAATATATGGAGCTCCTACCTTGAGCTCTGCTATGTTTACTTTTTCATCGACAGATTCTTCATTTTCGATTTCTGTCTTGGGATTTCCTTCATATATTTCATTTATGTATGCCACTCTTTTTTTCCTCGTAGGCTTCTCAAATTTCTTGTATCTTTCCTTCTCATACTCGATTTGTTCCACTCTTCTCACTTTATCGGCTAATTGAGTCATGTCATTCAATGGTAAATTAACCAACTTCTTTCGAATCGAGAATTCTAAACCAATTCAAATTCAGGAATCTGAGTAAAACATCTCGATTTCATTTGTCGGAATCTATTCAAATAATCATTGATGCTTTCATGACTATACCTCTTTATATTCATTAAATCGATGAGACTTACTTGAGTTTCTCCCCTAAAAAACTGCTCATGAAAATTTATTTCTAACTGCAGCCAATTATATATCGAGTTAGGTGGCAAACTGGTAAACCAAGTAAAAGCATTCTTTGTTAAGGAACTAGGGAAATATTTCATTTTTAATTCCTCATTCATAGTTATATCTCCACATTCAATCTGATATCGTGCCACATGCTCGATAGTGGATTCACCGATTTCTCCAGCAAATTTGGTGAACTTGGGTATTTTACATCCTCGAGGTAATTCTGTCTCGAGAACCGTGTTTGGAAAAGGAGAAATAAAATATGGTTGGTTAGGAGGCCTTAATTCCATTCCTTGGGGAATCATCCTTTGTCCCAACATATGGTTGTACTACATGTTATTATTCTGATTATCCATATTTTGAAATCCTCCATTTAAATTTCCGTGAGCATCATTCCTCACATGCTGATATTCATGCTGATATTCATTCCTCTCATGCTGATATTGATCAGCATTTCGATTTCTCCTTAATAGATAAGGGGGATTAATGTTGAAGTTTTGATTATCTCGATTGGCATTATCTTCCACCCTCGTTTTTTGAGGTATTGTCAATGCATCCTCGATACATGACATTTGATCTGCTAACATCTCAAAACTATTAGTAGTGTTTTGAATTAATGGATTTAATATTGTAGTCAACTGTTGTGACAACATATTAATCATCTCGACATTGCTTTCATCCATTTGTTGTCGAAGTACTCCTAATGAATTACTGGAAATTCCAGTACTAGCATTTTCAATAGCATTGAAATTGGATCGATGATAATCTCTATCGAATGCATACCTTCCATGGTCCAGATTTGTTCTATTATCCTGGTTTGGAATTGGAGACATCTGTTGTGTTCCTAATCTTTGCGCAGTTCCTGGATTTTGAGGGATTGCTAAATTTTGGGACACTCCTAAACTTGAGGACACTCCAAAATTTTGAGGCATGCCTAAGGTTTGAAACGTTCCTAAGTTTTGGGGCATTCCTAGGTTAAACCTCGTAGTTCTTTGTATCGAAGAGGTATCAGTCCCATTCATGTTATTAAACGTAAAACCAAGTGGTCTTACACTCGTATATGGGCCTACATATGTTGTTACGGGACTTCCCGTGGTTTGCATAGTATTTGACATTATAGTTTCAGACCCTATTATCTGAGCATTTGCTAATGTCCCTTGGTTTTGTTAAGAACTTACTGGAATCGACGCACTCACAGTTGTCGATATTACAGGCATAATTCCATTGTGAACTTGCCCCCCAGTGTTTGGTGGATTTGGACTATTAGGAATCTCACTGTTACCCTGACTATTTGGTGGATTTTGACTCATTCTTACTATTTGTCCACTCTTTAATCTCATACACTTATCGAACTAGCCAGACTTTGTGTATAAAACACAATATCACCCCTACCTGGCGCGCCAATTTGTTTCTGGTGGAAATTTGATCGATTTCGATTTCTCACAACCTTAAGTTCTAACCAAATTTCGACCACGTAGATTCTTTTTATTTAGGCTAGCAAACAAGTTTTCAATCGAAACATGTATGAGAATCGAAAACGTCAGATAAAGCATGCACGTATATTAAAAACATGGAAAATGTGATAAAGCATGCATATTGAAATCGAAATGCTAACAATGCAACCTAACATGCAGATTGACGAATCGAAGATACTATTTTTGGTATTTTTTATTAAGAAACTCGTAAGTAAAGAAAGTAGTGAAAATTTTCGAAACGGAAAGTAGTGCAGAATATTAATTTGCAGAAAGATGTAAATGCGGAAACCCCGAAATTGCATAAATGTAAATGACGAGAATCGAAATTTCAGGAATGTAAATGATGAGACTCAAAATTGCAGAATATTAAATGACAAATAGTCGAAAGTGCAGAAACTTAAAGTTGATAAACGTAAACTGCATTGAAGGTAAATTACCATGGTAAGTACAGAAAGTGATAAAGACAGTTAATGAAAATGGAGATCCAGAGCATTAGAAACTTCATGATGTTGTCGTTCTCCTGTAGACTTTTCACTAGTGTTTCTGTTATCTCTGCCAATTCCCCTTTTTTTCTTCCAACCTCACTCTATTTATAGAGTTTTCTTCAGGTAACCTCCTAGGGGCAGTTAAAAAGTCGCTACCATGTTCTTCACTGCACGTCCCTTGATCTTTCGTTTTCGCCTACAGTTTAGAAAAATCGCTTCCACGTTCCAAATGCGCTTTAATTTCGAAAGCCATGTATGATAATCATTCCCTTCTATCTCGATTTCAGTCTTTCAATTTTTGATTTTCATCCTCGATTTTCCTAATCATCGAATTCCTTCCATCCTTCGATTTATCAATTTTTAACCAACATATGACCCTTGATTCCCTTCCATCCACTTTTCGATCTATATATTGATTTTTCCCACCAACAAGGGTAGAATTATTTATTATTTTTTTTAAGCTAAAACAATGAACAACAATTGTGATTTCTTTATTAATGTTTATCAATTAAATAATTTTTAATTTATGATGTTATACAAATAAATTATAAATCCAGTACAAGTTAAAGGAGGTATAGATTTTCGGATTAAAACAAGTTATCTATATATATAATCATTGATTATAACTATTATACTTTCACAATTCACATAAATGAATATAAATATAAACGATCTCATAATTATATTTTCAAATAATTTATGAACATTTTAATTTTTTACAAAATATCAAACTATTTGAAGTTAAACTTGAAACAAAGAAATCAATTAGACAAAGGATTTTAAATAACAAAAATTAAGTAAAAAGATGCAGAAAATTTAAAAGCAAGCCATGAATCTAAGAAAGTAAAGCATGAAGAAATTATTCTTTTTTCCTTTGTCTTTATATACATTGCTATCTTCAACTTCAACTACTGTGTTCGAAGTTTAAGAAAAATTATCTTGGGAACTTCTTTATGGAGTTTCTTTTCTTCATCTCCTATTTTGACTTATGCTTTGTCATTCGATAATGGCACAGATGATTCTTTGAGTATTTACTCGAGACATCACCCTCTATAACACCTTTCTCAACTTTTATATTTCATTCTTATCTAATCTATTTAGAGTCTCATCTCTTGATTTTTTATTTCTCGAATCTTCATCACCCATAATATAATGTCTCCTTGAGAATATCATTTTGACAAAACAAAATAAATATATGAAAGAAGACACTCTCTCTTATAATCTTTATAGTATGAGACAAATGATTCATATTCTCTAGGTGTCATGAAAACTATGAACATTGTTATTTTGCATTTATTACTTACCTCTCGTTAAAACTTTATCATCATTATATGACTACTTTGATGCCATATTGTGAGTTCAATAGTGATTAGGTGCCAGTTGCTCAAAATTAATGATTTATCGAAGTAAATAACCTTCTGTATTTCATGAAACAAACAAGAGCGTACACTTATTGATTCCAATACATACACAGTGTGTTTTGAAAATTTGAATTTGCAAGAGGAAAACCAAAATGTTCGCTCCATTTTATTGAACGTGCTTGAACAAATTCTCATATTTGCTCAAAGAAAAAACATGGGGGGTACTCGCTTATTAAATAACCTTTTCTTTTCACTCACTCTTCTTCATTTGCCTGGCTTCTCTGTATCCCTCCAAAGCTTTTCTTTTTGTTGCAGCAATGGAAGGCCTTCCCTTTGTAGAGTGCATAATTAACTGATGACTGTCTCATTAGCATTTGGGAAGATCTTTTGGTGGGGGTATCACTGATTGCTTAGGACCTTTGCCATTCTCCACCAAAAAGGCCATCTTTAGTCCCCATGTTGTGTGCACCTCCAAGTGGCAGTGCATGAACCAAACTCCTATCAAACACAAGGAATTAAACTGATAATTATGAAACAATTGATGAATAATCCAATAGATCCTGCAAAGACTTTATACCAGGATGAATTTGGTACACCCTTAATTAACTACCTTCAGAGTAGATCAATGTAATTTGTCCTATCCATTTTTAAGAGTGTACTAATTAAGCTGATGCATAAGTTGTCCATGAGATTGAGAATTTTTACCTGGATTATCTGCTCTGAATCTAATTGCAGTCCATCCTCCAGCTGGTACTCCAACCGTGTTCCTTTCAACAGGATCAACAAGGTTAAAGTTCTTTGGGTCAGTATTGGGATTGTAGTTGCCTACTCCTCTTCCAACAACAAAGAAATTGAACCCGTGAAGATGTACTGGGTGATTCTCAGGTGCGATGATTCCAGTATCTTGTAGAACAACCTGAACTGTGGCATTGAATGGTAGCTTGTAAACCTTTGTGCCAGTTACGGTGTTCAAATTGGCTGGTCCAGGTCCTGAGTAGTTGAATGCATGGGGTGGATTAGCAGGGAAATCAGTGGTGAACACCCCTTTAATGTTGAAATAATGTGCCTGAAGTAAGGCAATGGTTGGCATAAGGAATGTCACATTGTTGACAGAGGCCACCACCCTGCTCCCATTTGCAGCTTTGCAAGATGGGCATGGGTTAATCCCCAACCCAACTGTGAAGAAAAGTGAATGATCAACTGTTACTGGGACATTGACAGGGTATGTTTTGGAGTTGAGGCCTCTAAGAGAGTTGACAAAGTTGTTAGCAACTATGGTAGCATTTTTGGGAGGTGGGGTGGTGAGAACTGTAGGGGTGGTGGCAAGTGTGCCTGTGTAGTGCAATGTTGCTGTGGCAGTTGAGTTGTCCACAGCAACAGGAGCATCCATGAAAGGAGAAGCCGCCACCAAGTACTTGCCAGATTTTTGGTCAGCATTTAGAAGGACATTGGTGGTTTGGCCAGGGGCTATCACAATTGTTTCCATCTTGAAAGGCTTTACATATGTGGCATCAACTTCTACCACTGTGAGCTTGTGACCTGCAATTTTGAAGAAGAGCTCCTCATTGAGTGCAGCATTGACAATTCTCAGCAGGTAGGTCTTTCCACCCTCCACAGGGAGGTTGTAAACATCTGCAAATATCCCCCCAAAAGAAAACAAATAAAGCTTTGTTTGAGCATAATTGAATTATCAAAGAGTAAATAGCTGATGGGTTAATGTTTTATACTATCATCTGATCATAAATTACTCTTTGTGGTAAGTTTGCTTGAATGTAATATGTACTAGATTATTGATTGATTGACAGGAAAAAGTATTTTAATACTGAACCAAAACTGAACAGAACAAAATACCCTGTGAAGAACAATTGGTAACTGTCCCTGGAAGGCCATTAATGGTATGAGCATCTGAGACATTTGGTGCTAATCCTGATTTTAGTGCTTCATTGATAATAGCTTCAGTATCAGATTTCCACCACTCTCCTACAATATATCATCACACAGTGAATTTTAGTATGTTTTCCAGGTAATGGGATTTAACTGTATGCAGACTTTAAGACCAATTAACTTAGTGAATAGGACAAGTTGAAGGTACTGTTTTGGCTCACCTAATACCACAACCAATTCATCATCTGGCTTTGGGAAAGGATAAGGTACACCTTTCTTTGGCAAGATAACCAAGGCACCGTGGAGAGTTGACCTTAGCCAGTTAACATGTGCATGATAAAGAAGTGTTCCTCTTTGCCCTGTAAGGGTGAAATTGTACACATAGGTTTGCCCTGGTTGAATTGGGCACTGTGTGACATATGCGGGTCCATCAGCCCAACCAGTTCTCAATTGCCTCACACCATGCCTACCAAGATAGCACAATCACATTAATCAGCATTGAATTTGAATAGTGTTGATCAGAGGAAAATATTGTTTACAATAAGGTCCATTACCATAGATTTTGTAACTTGTAGCAAATAAAATGAAATATATGTAGTCTCACCAATGGATGGTAACGTTGTGGTTGACTTGGTTAACGACTTTGACCAGCACTGTGTCATCTTCTCTGGCATAAAGAGTGGGTCCTGGGAACTTCCCATTAATAGTGACAATAGATTTGCTTGAACACAATCTATTGGTTTGTTTGGCCACCACCTGCACCCATTATTACCAAATTAGCTAATCCTCTGAAAGAAACTAGAATAGAGCATCCAAGTGGTTGGAAAGAATTGACCCATTAACTATCTTTAGGTGCTGATTTGGAGCTCTACCTTCCTTGTCACTACAAATTCTAAAATCTACTCATTTGTGTTCCATTCATCCACCGAGGATTAAGTTTAGGTGAGGTTAATGCTTCAAAACTAATAACTATGATTACAAGATGCCTCCACTGTTCATCATATATATATATATAAGTTGGCAATTTTCTTTAAGAGGAACATGTCTCAGAAAAAAAAGGCAATAAAATAATTTTATTTTCCAATTAATTAGTTTGACTTTGGAGCCTTGATTTATTTATCAGCGACTTCTCTAGTTCATAGTTTATTTGCACCAAAGACAAACTATTTTCGGGTGATGTGTGATTTATGATAAATATATATAACAAGAAACTAACCGTTAACTCACCTTAAATATTTTTGTTGAATAATACGTTAAAAAAGGAACTAATTTATTTAACATGAAAAGGAAATATATATCCTAAGCTGCTTTCGCAGCTGTCACAACATTGTTCTAAGTTCAATATAAGAAAAATGATCTTAAACGCTGCCAAAATCGTACACCCCCATCTTTATCGGAACTTGATAGAAAATTCCTTGATACGAGAGAAAGGTAATTAAATAAACATAATAAGTTGCATGCATTTATAAATATTATTGTTGTTTGAGCTTCTGTACTGTCAAAAAAAACTTCTGAACTAAATGAACTTCTGCATCATTATGTATCACTTGAGTTATAACTTTCCAAATATGATATTAGTCATAAGTATAACAACATTGAAAAAATGCATGACACAACACAAATCACATGAGAAAGGCAAGAAACTAAAACGGTCTACTTACATGAAATTTGTAGTGCCTGACTCTGCATTCGACCAAAGCTGGAAGAATGCAAGCCATGAGAAGCATGATTCGAGCCAAACGAGAATCCATTTTTCTCACTCTGAATCCTCCCTACTTTCTGTGTCTTAATTTGTCTGTTGTGTCTTTGTGTGTTGCATTCACAAACGACTGGCCAACACACCCTTATATAGACCGAAACAGGCATTGCTACCACGTCGTTTTAACTTGGTTAGGTGAGTGATGGAGGCATTCTTGGAAATTAAGACTGAAAACACCAAATTAAACTAGCTTATCTCATGATATCTTGCATGTCACATAAAGTAGTGTATAATGGGAATCGCTGTATTTTGGGATACAAGTTATTAATCAACCTCCTTATTTAGACACATATTTGTTCTGATAAATTGATGATCACAGTTTTTGATTGGTTGTGTTTTGACTTCCAAACTTATATCTGTTCCCCACTAAGTGTGTTTTCATCTAGAAACTTAGCTAATTAAAGAATGATAATTTTGTTTAGTTACAGAACCTGATTCATCATTTTCGGCCTTAAACACCCTTTTTACCACTATCCCTTGATTATTGATGATCTTGTATGATAGTTTATCTAGTCATTAAAGGCAAAATATTTCACTTTATATAACTTTTTGAGAAAAATACATTCTAAATTATTTTTTGTTTTATAAAATCAATGATGCGTATATTATTCTTTTCATATTCATCCACCATGGATAAAGCAAATATTAAAAAATTGTATAATTTATTTATAAAATTAAGCTATTGATTATATTCTTTGATTCCTTAAAACATCACATAAACGAAGGAGAATATTTATTAATTTATTATAAATGCACTTTTCAATGTTTGTGTTTTCTAATTTTAAAATATACAGAAGATATATATGTCTTAGGACACTATCTGAGTAAGAAAAGTGATATTGTATTTGATCAATAAAGTTGATGTCACTCTAGTTAAGCTCTTGGGTCAATTACAATATTTTTTGTTATTTTTGTTTTTTCTTTCTTGTAAATATTATATATATTTTTTTCTTGTCAAGAATTGGATTATCTTGTTTAATTTAGAGACCGTGTGCATCTTGATTAAGGTGCGATGGTTGCTTCTTAAATATGTTTCAGGGACATTGAGAACTTGTATATCTGAAAAATGTATGAAAAGAAACCCCTGGTTAATGTGACAAATTAACTATATGTGACCTAATCTCAATCTTTAGATTATTAATGGTAATCACAATGATTGTGTTTCATAATTACACTAATCTTTGTCTTAATATAAGGAAATTATATAGGATTAAGTCATCTACCTATTTTTCAACTAAATAAAATTTATTCTTTCCCTTAATTTTCTCTAAAACTATGAAATTCCCATCTTCCACAATCAAATTATTAATAATTTTTTTTTAAAAAGAGCAATCTTATTAACATTTATATATTAAAATGAAAGTAAATAATTCAATTTCAAGCACTAATCTGTCTGTTTATTCTAATTGAATATATTCAATTTATGAAGATTTTGAGAATTTGAATTTTTAGATAAAAGAAAATAAGTCGCTGAATTATCTTAAAAAAAAACAAATAAACTTAATCCATGTTAAAAAAGAAAAAAAAAAAGCTTGAAAAATCAAAATAACAAACGTTCCAAATTGAAGAGATCAAAATTTGATCCATATATTACTGTCATAGGCTAAGGAACCAGAAGGTTGTTTGAAGAATGCTCTAATTGCTTAGTTCACAAAATAAAGTATTTGTTGAGCTATGGCTCTCAAAGTTTAGGGCCATGTATACATATATATGAGGTGGGAACTCATAAAGGGTGCACATCATGTTTGGTTTGAAAGCCAAGAATAAACCAACATTGTGTAAGTAACAACTCTGTCACCTTCTGGTATCTCTTATGTTCTGCATCTGCTTTTTTATTTTTATTCTATTTTCATATATTATTAGTTGCACTTTTGCATTAGGTAACAGATAAACACATAGATGACTAACTAGTTTAACCTCAACTGCTGAAACTCATCAAACTTATATTATAATGATATTTAGGTATAGTGGTTTAAAGTCAAAACTTAGTTAGAAAAGCACCCACATCAATTTCTTGATGTTCATTAATCATGCCAAACTCTGCTTTTTTTTTTTTTTTTCTTTTCCTCTCTCTTTAATATCTCAGATGGAACACAGATTCATCATAAACCAACAAATACATAAAACAAGACATGTAATAAGGAGAATAAGAGTTGTTGTTGTTTTGCCTCAGAAGAGATATTACAATAATAGAGTTTTTTTTTTTTTCCATGTAGTGAGTTTTAATTAATCTATTGATGTATCCTATTACAACTAAATAGATAATAGTTTTTAGAATAAAAATTCAGAAAGATAATCGAATATTTTGGTCACCTCACACCTAATTGAAATTTTGTTTTCCAAAAGAAGAGAAAAAAATTTAGTAAACTAATTAAATAACAAAAAAGAATTACATCACTGATAATAAAGTCTATTACAAAACGTGTTAGAAAATAAAAATCACTTGTGAATGTTAAGGAATTATATTGTAAACGTGAAGAAATAGATTGAAAATTTTGATTAGAGATGTAATAACAGTGATATAATATATGGATGAGTTATAAAATTTATTTTATAAATTATAAAATTAAATTGATTTTTTTATTTTTAATAAAAAGTTAAAAAATAATTTATTTTTAAATATAATTCATAAATTATTTTTAAAAGCCACCAAATATAAACTCTTTTGGTTATTGTTTTGCTAAATCATTTTGATTTTAATCTCTTAAATTAAAAAAATTCTTTAAAATTAAAAAAACGTATAGTTTTAGTTTTAAAGTAATAAGCTTAAGACCAAAATGATTTTTTTTTAAATTGTTTTTTATCTTTTAAATATTTATATTTTGTTAAATTTCAGAGATTATTTAAAGAAAAAGGACTGAACTTACAAAATTATTTATCTCAGATTCCAGAGATTAAAATATAATTAAACTATTTTTTAATTTAAATTTAACAAAATTGGACTTCGTTTATATTCCATTAAAAGTGTTTTATAATTGAAAGTTTGAAATATTAGTCATCTATATACTATGTTTCTTTCAATAAAATCTATTACATGAGTATAATCATAAGTAAACTCCCATTAACCTTTTTATAAAACTTAGTTCTTTAATTGTGCCAACTTTGTCGATGTAAGCTTCAACATTTTTTTACTATTATTTTAATTATTGATAGTCTCTCTTGTAATATATCTTATGATATTAAATAACTCATGTTGAATTAAATTGAAAGAAAACAAATGAAGTTGATGTCACTTGAGTTAAGCTCTTTGGTCAATTAGAAGTACACAACGTTTTCTCAAATAATCTCGAGTATAGAAAGACTTTCTAGTCCAACAAATAATAGTTTATAAAAGTGAGTATCGTGAAAAATTGATTCAAAATTTTTATGTAATTATCCAATACAAATCATTTGTCATTTGTGAGTTATTCCATTTTTTTCTAATAAATAATACTTTTTTAATTTAAAAAATGTTTTATTTAAACTCATAAAAATAAATATAGTTTTACTTAATAATTAATATGAAATATATTTTTATGGAGATTTTATTGATTCAGACATCGACTACCCACCTAACAAGAACCCATTGAAATAATTAAAATAACATATATATATGAAAATTAAAAACCGAAATGCAATATAGGAAGTGTTCTGTAAGAAATGTAATTTGAAAAAAAAATTGTTGGAAACTTAAATTGCAGAAAATATAAAGCATTAAGAAATATAAATTACAGGAAATGTAAAGAATTAAAAAATAGAATTACACAAACTATAAAGGGTTAGAAAATATAAAATTACAAAGTAAAACTGATAAACAATTAATAAAAATAATGATTAAAAATTACAGAGAACTCAGTTAAAAAATATTTATTTTATTCACAATATTTTTAATATATAAATATTGCAATATAATTTGTTATATTTTTTATTTATTTGATCATATTTATATTTATTATCCTTTATAACAGTTAAAAAAATAATAATAAAAATAATAATAAAAATGGTTTTTTCTTCTTAAATGTTTTTTTATAGTTTCATTATGATTTGTGAGGAATATAATAACTTCTATAATGAAGTTGTAAGGGTTGGTGATTTTCTCAAATATTACTGCTCCCTTTGAATTTTTCTACTATCTCCTCTATTCTTTGAGTCTACTTTGACTCTGGTTTCCTCAATTATGTGTTCTCCTTTTCTCTTGATGTTTTTAATTTCTGTCAATTTTCTAATTTTTTTTATCCTTTGACTTGTGGATTTTTTTTCTTTTATCTTCTCTTGCACCCTCGATTCCCCTGTTCCATATTTTTTAATTCATTTGTAAATTTATAACTAACAAAATAAATATTGAGAGGATATTTAAGATTTGGTATCTAATGATTTCTCTGTTTTGAAAAAGTCCAGACTTTGAGATTTTCATGATGAAATGTCAATACAGTTTGTCTGTTTTTTTTTTTAGCATAATTTTGTTCTCTGTTATTCATTCTGTTTCAAGAAGAGATCTCCTTCTATAGTCATCTGATAAGAAATAGTCATTATATCCTTTTATAGACATCTCATATGAAATAGTCATTATATGGCAAAATCAATTACAGAGTCAAATTTGTAAGGATTTTGGCATGTTTGTAAAGTTTTCAAAGATAGAGTACAATAACTTTAGTTCATGTCGGAACCTTGAAGTTATTTTGATCCAATAAATTATTCTATGTATGTTTTTTTTTTCAGAATAAATTATTAACTTTACATGTTTCATCCTTAAAAGAAGTGTTGATCTTTGTTCAAATTCAAAATAACCTGATGATTTGACATGAATAATCTAATCATTAGTAGCTTAAAAATGATATTCTAATATTCGATTCAAGATGATCTAATGAACAACTTCTAATGAAGTTCTAATCTTCAACAACTTGAAGATAATCTTCTGGAGCAAAGTGGTGCGTTGAGCCTCTTCTATTGTAGAGTTTATTCTTCAAACAACTTAAACATTTTTTATGTTAGAGGATGTAGTGCATCTTTTAT